AGAGAAACTAATTTGCTAGATAATGAGATCTTGCTGGGTTTAATATATGTAGATCCGAAACACCGACTTTTCTTGGATGACGAACAAATTAAAAAGGCAAAGAAAGCTATCATTGAACTTTCATTAAGAATGAAATTATTCTCAGAACAATTGGAGAATTTGAATCAGGACAGTCAAGCTGCAGACATTGCAATTGAGTCTCTATCATCCTCTTCCAGAGATGAGAAATATTTTTGGATAATAATGAAAAGGCTAAGGCAAAGCAAATGAAAATAAAGAACCAAGAGCCTTTAGATATAAAAATGATTAAATACAAAAGAGATTTCTACATAGCCTTTGAAGAAATAGAGTAATATGATTGTGCTTGCAAACACCTCTTTTAGAACTTATAAAAATCTATCCTGAAAAGTTAAAAGAGTAGCCTTAAGAGTAACAGCTCTACTTCCTACTCAAGTTAGTGTGGAAAGACTCTTCTCAGCTCTGAAGTTTATCAGATCGGATCTATGGCTCTCCAACAAAGATCTTGCCAAAGCTATACTGTTTCTTAGAAATAACTAATGCCAGTTTTTCAATTTCATAATAAATGTTAATTAATATAAATAATTTTTTCTATGTCATCATTTTTTTTTTTCTGTAGCATCTATTACTTCTTTTATATTAAAAAAATAAGCTGTAACCCATGTGTATATGTTCGCACACACATATATATATATATATGTGGGAGTCGATAAAATTCCTGGAGTCGGTCATTTTCCCTACGACTACACAGCCCTAATTATAAGGAATAAGTTTTATATTATATAAAACACTCTAGCTGCTAATTACATATGTTAATCTTAACAAATCTTTTAAAACTATATACAGTCAAAAGTCGTTAATTCGGACACCCATAATCCGGAATGATCTATAATCCGGACCTCAAAGCTAAAAACTTTCTGCGCATGCGCATAGGCATTTACATGTGCGCATAAGACCTTTACGACTGCACATATGCGTGTGCGCAAACGCAGAATATGTTTTCGCATGCGCGTTTTATGTATAACGAACGGTATAAGCTAAAATTATCTAATTATCTATTTCAGTTAATGTTGATGATTGCGTTTGTCCTTAATCTTCGAATTGGATCCGGCTTATTATTTTTTGCAGACTGTAAGAGCAATTTTATAAAAGTAAACTTGAACTTTCGATTATGTCAAATAGAATTTCCAATGCTGGAGCTCCCAAAGGATCTACAAAACGAAAGTATGTTCCGATGTCCATCAAACAAAAAGTGGAATTGCTGCAAAAAATGATAAAGACATGAAGAAGATGACAGAGAGGTTAGTGAAAACGAAAAAATTTTGTTTGACAAGTTAATCGGTATTTTTGGCACAGCAATTACGGGACTTGAACAGCGGAACTTTGTAACTGAACAAGAAATTATGTCTGTTTATAGAATTAAAGAGAAAGTATTATCTCATAAAACGAAGCAACTTAAACAACTTACATTGAAAGAAATGTTTAATAAAGTAAACAAATAAATATTAAGCTTTTTTTTTTTTTGTAAATTTTGATACCCTTTATATCATAATTGCTCTTTATTTCATAAATTACAGTTTCATATTTTTAATTTTATAATTTCTGCATGCCATCTTACGAGATTTAAACTGATGATCTATAATCCGGAAAAATCGATAATCCGGAATCGCCGAAGTCCCGACGAGTCCGGATTAACGACTTTTGACTGTATAATTATACACAAAAGAATGTAATAAGATGATCAACAGCTACAAAATGAATGGAAATGGAAGCATTACATAAAATTTACAAGGTTGTTAGAGCATGGCTTTAAGAATTATGTAATAAAAATTTTAAATACTTGTGTCTTAGGTGAAATCAGAAGGTATGATAGGCAGCAAGATAACAGCAGTGATCTGAGCATTGCTTATTTCAATTCCGTTGGAAGTAAATATAATGGTGGATTGGTTTACAGAAATAAATGGTATAACACTCAAATATGGCTTTTTTCAAACCAATTTTCTATTCTCATCCTTACAATCTGAATGCACAATACAACTCTGTTACAGGGATTGTAAAAAATTTCAGAGAAAATATATGTGCAAAAGTGCCAAATCTAGCAAACACACCCATTTAACTGCTTGCAATTCCAGTGAACATGAAAATTTCAAAGTGCACAAATTTAGATAGATCTACATCTGTATCTTGTCGCTGAAATACTGGTTTAATTTTTTATTACTTTTTTGATAACGCTAAGGATCTAACAATTTGGAAACTGCCCAATGATGAAAGGTTTACAAAAGAATTTTTTTTAAAAAAAAGGTCAGCAATTTGAGCGGATTTCTTTGCTTCTGATGAAGAGAAACCTGTACCTGTAAGCCCACAAAATCAATAGAGTCTCAACTGAAATCTGCATCAAATATAAGAATGTTGCTTTGCTAATTTTATGTTTTATATTGGTGTGGTTCTCTTCTGTTTTGATCTTTTTGCATGTTTGCACTCTTATTCATAGTTTTCTGAGTTTTATTAAATGATGAAATGAGAGTTATCAGTTTTCTTTAAAATTATGCTAAAATGCTGATACTGTTACAATTTTAATGCCCCCCGCCTGAAAAAAAAATTGTGTGCTATTATCCAAGTATTGTACTGAAAAGTGCATTTGGTACAATTCCATTATAGGTACGGTAAAAAATCTCCAGTTTACTGTTGATGCCAAAAATAAATATGACAACCCTAATGCAAAAAGAGAAGCATAATAGTAAATAAATATCTAAGATTATTATTTGAATTCAAATGAAAGGTTAATTTCATATAATACATTATTTTTATTATTATATTTTATATAAAAAAGGCTAAACATAACTGAATGGAAATATAATAGTAAATTTCTGGTTCTAATGGAAGTTTTCCACCAAAAAATTTTCTGAATAAAATTGGAAAAAAAATGAAACATTTTAAGTACCTTTAGTGCGAGCAGTAATCACCACCAAAATTTATGATTTTCTGCCAACGTTTTGGTAGTTTTTTTTTAAGTCTTTGGCCCAGAAACTTGGCAGTAAGGAATCAAAAAACAGATCAACCTCATTTCAGATGTCCTGTGTGGGCTGGAAGATTGTATCAGCAAGATGTAGCTTCAGGTGTAAAAAAAGTTATAAGCCCGAAGGAATGATGGGGCTATATGGTGGGTGTAACAAAAGATCCCATTTGAGTCTTTACAAAGTCCATTGGTTGAATGCAAGCACACGTGGTTTATGCATTATTTAGATGGAACATTACCTTTTTGTTCGAAAACTCACTTTGACGTTTTCCATTGATAACAGCATCAACAAGGAGTAGCATCTCACTTACTGTCACCTTACTGTCGAGGGTTTTACCTTTTATCAGATACTCTTTGTGGATAATATTGCGACTCTTCCACCAGATACATAGTATAATCTTTTTGTCAGTCAAATTGCATTTTGTGATGCTATTGACAGGCTCGCTGGATGTAGACTAACCCCATTTTTAGACCGTGTTGTTGAAGTAAATCCATTTTTCATCACAAGTGATGATCCAGTCCAGAATTTTGATCTTACATTGATATTCGAGTAGATTATTGAAAGCCCAATCACATCTGTCCTTTTCTGCTTGAGTCTGCTCATGTGGCACACCGCAACTGAACTTGTATGTCAAGTTTATGCAATGCATAGTGCTAACAATGGACATGGCATTAGCGTCTAACTCTTTAGCAAGCTTTCAAGTGGTTGCATACTGAACTTCTTCCACAGGTTCTCGCAGTCGGGTCTATTCAACATGAGTAGGCTGGCCAGAGTGCTCTGCTTCCTCAGAGTCATAGTCCATGTTTTTTAACTTTCAGTACCAAACCTTCACAGTGTCATATGATACTACATTAGTACCTAAATCTGTACACATGATTTGATGACATTCAGTTGTTGACTTTTTATGATAGAACTGGAAGTAAATGATGGTTCTAATCTGGTAAAGTGATGGTTCCATTTCAGATGCCTTTTACTTAATGATAACGATATTTTTTACAATTTTCACCATACAGTGTTCTAAACCAAGTTTCTTTCTTTCAATGATTAAACACACGATCACGAAATGTTTGTACAGACAATATTTGCAGTGGCAGGAAACTTTCATTAAAAACCCAGTAACTATCTCAGATTTAGATGAAAAGTTAATTTCATATAATACATTTTTTATTATTATAATTTATAAACAAACAGCTAAACATAACTGAAAGAAAGCATAATAGTAATTAATTAACTAAGATTATTAATTTAATTTGATGAAAGATTAATTTCATATAACACACTTTTTTATTATTTTAATGAAGAAAGGTGGCTAAACATAAGTTAAATTAATCAGGAGGCATAAAATTTTCGATGTTTTCCAACATTGCAAAGAAAATATCAGTTCTTTTTAGTGCAAACGCCTGTACATGCACTCAGACAAATAAGAACCGAAATTTAAAATTAGTAAGGAAATAACCTTGTATTTGGCAGAGATTTAGACAAAAAGCTCAATCAATTTCGAGGGCAAATAGGTCTCTCTTTATCAGGAGCAAAGAAATTTGCAAGACTGAAAAGCAGCAGGCATAACGATCCTATTTATACCGTACTGCAGTAAAGCAAACATTAAGATATTGCCATCTATCAGCAAATCCAAAACGCTTCTTCCATTGGCGAATAAGATTTTCTTGAAACTTTTCATATTCACAAAGACTTAGCTTGTTCAGTTAATGACTTTAAGTCCAATCCAGTCCAAGGAGAGAAGGAAAACATGAAAATAATGTGCCTAGGGACTTCCTAATAATCCAATTACATATATTAATATGCACAATTTATACATAACTTTAAAAATGATATCTGGTATGTTTTAGGATTACACTTTTCTTCTAAAAGTCATATATTTTCATTTAGAATGAAATGCAATGTATGAAAAATATAAGAACATTTTGGTTTAAAAAAGTAATAAAATAGAATTGTTAAAATACTTACATAAACACTTCGCCAAATTTGCAAAAATGATTTTTGTACATTGCCATAACAGTAAATTTTGAGTTGATTTTTATGTGTTTCATTTTGTTCATACTGAGAATTTGCCTCTAAATATATCACGTCGTGTCGAGCTATAGAAGAAAAATATTTTAGTTAACAAAATTGTGTTTTATTATATTCCCAGTTATAAGCTGCAATTTACACACATCATAGAATTTTAATAATATCTCTATGATAATAATGCATGCAAATCATAGCTTTTTATGGGACATCCAAAAATTCTACAAAATACAATTTCATTTAATCATAATGTTAACATCAGATAACAAACATGTTAAATTATGATAAAATCATGTCTTTCTGCAAAGATAAAATTAGAAATTAAAAATATTTTAAGTAATAATTATTATATTTTTAATTCCAACTTGCATTACTCGGTGCCACTCAGATGCTGAGCATAGCAAATTAATAAAATTCCAAACTGTAGGAAATATACCATATTACAAAACTAATTAATGAAAATCAGTCAAGACACAATTATTTTAAAAAAAATTAAGTAACTTACATCATTGACATAAACTGACCGGAAAATGCAAGCGCTATGAAACAGTAAGTAGAATGAAATAAAAATGGGCAGCAAAAGAATGTACATATAATAATTGGGTGATTTTAATTTTAAAAAGTAGCAAAGTGATTGAATAAATAGGATGATCATTTGGGAATAGGACTACCTCTTACAATGATACAAGAAGCAATTCTTTGAGGTACAAATGAAATCAGCATCTAGATAATGTTCTGATGGATGGATGACCAAATATTTTCAACCATCCTCCATTGTTCATTCTCCAAACGAAGCTAAGATAGATCAAGTAAGCAATGGCCAATAACATCCTAAAGATTTTTGATTGCTTTGAGATCTGGAAACCACAGTGGCCAAGAAGCATTTTGCAAGGTTTATCTGTTATCAATTGTTGTGTGCAGTCAGATGTAAACTTGCTGGAAAACAGCATTTTACAACCATTGAAAGTAAAACAGTGTAAACAGCTGTAGAATTCATTCGCGCATCAGAGAGCTGTCGCTATGATATTAACCAGAGGTGACCACTAGTGAGACAATAGCATACCAAACCATAAAGCTAGGTTGTAGAGTGGTATTGCATTCAAAACTACAGTAGGATTGCAGCTGTTTCCACATCAATGCAAGGCATTTACCTGCTGAACTGTCACTGATAAAATAGAAGTCATCGCTGAAGTATATACAACCATATACCATTCAGTCATTCAAAAAACTCTGCCCTGACAAAATTGCAGTCATTGGCATCAGTGGTTTTGCATCAAAAGCAGCATTGGTAAAGGGCAACATGATTGCAAATTACTTTCTACTGATCATCTAGAAATTGTTCTCGCTGAAAGCTCATTGCATATTCTACATTATATCAACAGTGATACTTTCTAGGGTCGCATGCCTTCAGATGCGTCGATCCAACAGTGCTGATGTCAGTCATGTATACATGCATGCATTAGGTTATCCAGAAATTTCTATGGGTTTTGATGATAAACACAAATCAAGCAGTACAAAAACACAAGAAAAGTTCATTCATTCACATAAGAATCATTTTGCTCTATGACTTTTTGCCAGCTCTCCAGCAGCTGAAAAATTTCTTTTTAATAATTCATTAGCTTTATTCATAAACAGGTTATCGTGGTGCTGTTTCAGTCTCTAAAGAAGTGAATTCCAGGCCATTCAGAGAATTCTGAAGAGATGAAAACTTGAAGACCTAATGAACATAGGAATGGCACAAAATATTCTAGCCATACCTAATAAATATTTGTCAAACATTTAATCAATGTGTAGGGCCAAGCACTGTCATGATTGTCATGATGTCAGTTTTGCAGTCAATTTCTGCCTCAAACTGCCATTTGAGGAGAGTTTTTCTGAATTAATTGTTTTGGTGGCAACAATTCATAGTACCCAATTCCTTTGTGTAAAAAGAACTACTTTTTTGGAATGCAACCCTCCACTCCACATAACTAAAGGAGTACTTACATATGCTGTCCCAGAAGAAACACTATACAACAAATGAAAATGACACTGAAGTTATGCAGAGATATGAAGAAACAATTGAATATAAAACCAATCGTTATGAAGTTTCATTACCTTGGAAGGACAATGTCAACAAAATAGATAGTAATTATAACATCGCCTTAAACAGATGGAACAGTTTACTTAGAAGGTTTAAGAAAAATCTTGCTATTTTTTGCCACACCATTGTGTAATCAGAGAAGATCATGATTCTATGAAGTTAAGGGTCATATTTGACGCTTCCTCACATACTCATGACAGTCTATCTTTAAATGATTGCTTACATTCAAGACCAAATTTAAACTCTGAATTATTAGATTTTTTGAGTAATTTTCGTCAACACAAAATAGCATTTGCTGCAGATATCGAAGCTGCTTTACTACAAATTCTGTTGAAGCCTGAGGACAGAAATGCAGTAAGATTTCTTTGGACTGCAAAAGAAAAGGAGCAACAGACAATTTTAAGAATGACGCATGTAATATTCAGAGCAACCTGTAGCCCCTTTTTACTAGCAGCAACTATAAAGCATCACACAAGAAAGTTGAAAGCACAATATTCGAAGATCTGTTAGCTTCTTGAAGAAAAAATTTAGTTTCAATATGAGAAAGTGGAGGAGCAATAACGCCCAATGACACGTGATTTAGAATGTGACTGAAAATATGAAGCTTAATGGAAATGGAATGAATAGCACTTTGTTAGGATAAATTTGGAATTATGAAGCAGATAGATTGAAATTTTGAATCAAAGATGAATTACTCAAAGATCCTGCTGAGGAAATAACAAAACGGAAGATTCTTCAAATTGCAGACGAATTATACGATCCTATCGATTTCATATCTCCCTTTGTTTTTGTAGCATGATGATGCAAGAATGCTGGCAAAGAGGATACCAGTGGGATGCACCACTTCATTAAGAATTGCAGAAACGATTTAAAACCTGGTATAATGAAATTCCTAAACTAAAAAATGTTGAAATTCCAAGACATTCTATCAAAATATAATCTGTCGAATATTCAATTGCACTATTTTACAGATAGTAGCCAAAAGGTATATGGTGCCTCTGCATATTTGAAATACAATGAAAATGAGCTAACAAAAACATTATTTGTTATGTCCAAAGCAAGAATTGCTCCCATAAATATGGTTATGTTACTTCGACTGGAGCTTTTAGGAGCAGTCATAGGAGCTCAACTCATCACATACATTCAACATCCGTTGAAGAACTTAGAAATGAAGATTTATATGTGGACAGATTCAGAAATTGTACTACATTGGGTCAAAACTGATCCAACAAAATGGAAACAATTTGTACAAAATAGATGTCTAGAAATCCAAGAGAAAACTGATCCAGATTGGTGGAATTATTGTTCCAGCCATGAGACTCCTTTGGACTTTATTGGCGAGAGGACAGAAGGTAGAAACCCTTTCAAAAAATGAGCACTGGTGGTATGGCTCACCTTGGCTTGTTAAAGATAACAACAGATCTTCGAGAAATTTTAATGAAGATGACAAAATAATAAATTATGAGAAATGGAAAGGAAAGAAACAAGAAATCTTAACAGCAAACTGTATTGTTGAAAACAGCGACCCCATCATTCCTGTCAAGAGTTTCAGTTAAACAAAGAGAAAATATATAGAATAACATCTTATGTTTTCAGATTTTATCAATAATGTGAAAAACCCAAAACTAAGAAGAATTGGACCTGTCAAGGCCAAAGAGATGACTGAAGCAGAGAATTTCTGGATAAAGAAAAGTCAGGAAGAAAATTTTAGAGAAGAAATAAGGAAATCAAAGATGAAACAAAACATAGATAGTTCAAAAACATTCACATTAAATCCATTTGTAGACTCACGTGGAATACCCAGAGTAGGTGGAAGGCTTCAAAATGCTGAATTAAGCTATAATCAAACATATTCAGCAATATTACCTGAGAAGTCTCAGTTGACAGATCATATCATTAAAGACTCACGGAACGCAAGGTCACTCTGGTGTAGCTGAAACTTTAACTCAAGTTAGAAAAATTTTGGATACTAAAGGTTCGAGGGCATGTAAAGAATAATATTAATAAGTGTGTGATTTGCTACAGATTTAAAGCTAAGCCACTATGTCGGGATATCATTCCTTTACCAACCAAAACAATAACAGAGGCAAATCCCTTCGAAGTTTTGCTGGTCCTATGAGTACAAAGGATGAAACTGGTAAGGCTTATATAGCTCTGTATAAATGCAGTGCATCTGAAACTAGCATCTAGCCAAAAAACAAAAATTTTCTTCTGACCTTTAGAAGATTTATTTCAAGAAGAGGAGTATGCCGAATGATATATTCAGACAATGTAAAAACCTTCAAAAGAGCAGACGAGGATTTACAAAAACTATGGAATACCATCAAGGACACAGAAGTTCAAAATTATTTTGGCAATAAAGGTATTGAGTGGAAATTCAATGTGGAAAAGGTGGCCTGGTGGAGCGGTTTCTCGGAAAGGCTTGTTAGATCTATCAAGTCATGTTTGAAGAAAATACTCATGAAGGCTTCATTTAAAGTTGAAATCCTGGAAACAGTTTTAATTGAAATTGAGGCAATATTGAATTGACGTCCGCTTACTTATGTTTATTGTGAAGTCCGGAGAACCAGAACCACTGACATCAGCTCATTTTCTAGTTGGACGAAAACTGACGTGTTTACCATCTGGCAAATTTCTTGAACCCGATTCAACTAAAGAAAATTAAAAAAGGCAATATAAATACTGGCTAAGGTTATTAGAAGGTTTTTGGAAAAAGATGGAAAAGGGAATACTTACTTGAAATTAGAAATGTAAAGCAAATTCAGAGAGGTATTGCCATAAAAGATCTTTTGAAGAGATCTGTAGTTCTAGTACATGAAGAAAAACTTACCAAGATTATTATGGAAGATGGGAGTTTGTACAGGAGTGTTATCCAGGATGAGATGGAAAAATAAGGGCTTGCACTATCCGTTTAGCTAATGGAACTCATCTTCATTGTCCTGTGCAGTTATTGTACCCGTTAGAAATGACTTGAACACTTTGAACTGA